ATTTGGTTAGGCTCGATCACTGAGCTCGGATCTAGATGGCCATGCATTACAAAACAAGGTGACTATTTATCTGCTGGTGACCTGGTGTTAGCAGTCATTCTCATTAAGCATTTGGTCTTCCAATCCTTGCCTTAATTCTAGTCTAGTCTTTTCTATGTCAATTGTATGTAAATAAAACACCTTCAACGGTTCAAAACGCGAAATATATCAATTGACTTATTTTTAAATTTTATTTAACTACTTATTATCCAAGCGTATGGAATATCAATCTAAAAATGTATTCGCAAGAAAACAACAAAGGTGACAATAACGAAGAAACTTATTATCCTAAATATTACAATCAAGATACAAATTACGAATACACTTTAAGCGAGTGGAACTCATTAAATAAATCACTTTTAACGGTTAATATCACGCAGTACATTAGTAAACTTACTTTGTTTTATAGTCTTCCAGTTCCATGACTAGTGACGTCGGGTCTTAGTTTTACTAAACGAATATTTTCCGCATTTAAACCATTGGTATTTAATACGATTAACTTATAGTTTAAATATATAATTAAGTTTTTATTTCTCATATTAAATTTAGTGATAAAACTACTTGTCGTCTTCGTGAATCTACATAAACAAAGTTCAGCATTTTCCGTATTTATGTTCGTGAAGATATTTTGTGACGAATGCTCAGAAGTGGATCGGTGTTTGATTCGTCAACATACAACAATGACATACCTACTCGTATCAAACAAAACAAAGCGGATATAACTGATTTATGAATAGGTACCTAAACAAGACGGAAGTTTATGGTTTTGGTAGACTGGTGTCTATCTGTTTGTAAGAATGCCATTACAATGCGCTATCTACCTATTTTAACATTCGTAACACAAAATTATTTTCGAGTTAGACAAACCATATAATGAGAAAGAAAGCTATAATACTTAAGACCTAATAGCAGTGAATAGACAGAGCGATATGTGCAAAAAGACGGAGAAAAGTATTCATCATTGGGAGCTTTCGTTGCGTAGGTACGCTATGAAAACGGTTCAAAAAACTAAAGTCAAAGCATGAAAGAATGATTTTTCTTCGAATGATTTTAAACAAATGTCCGCGACAGTCTAATGTCTACCTTTGAACATGAACGACGTAACGGGTCGCGGACGAAGTCGTGAGTAACAGCCATAATTAAGAATGCTATGGTGGTTGTTTGCTAAAGTAAATGATATGATGCGAACAAAGTAGCGGGCAGAGCTAGTACTAAATAAATGGCTAATCCTATTTCAAGGATTTCTCATTTAAAGAGTGCTAATGCTTGAAGATTATTTGATATTTAGAGAAAAAATGACATTGCGTCGATACAAATATCAATAGGATATAGACACGAAATTTCGAGTATTGACGTCTACGAACTACATAGATTTTTAATAAGTTGCAGTGGATCTCAATAATTTTAAATATCACGAATGAAAACTGAAAGTGAAGTGACAGACCGACAGAATGGAGTTTCTCAAATATGTTTTCCGCACAAATCGCACGCAACGCTCGGAATCACGACATCATTACTGTCTTCGCTCTCTACGAATCGATAATGTCTGTAATTTGCGTCACTATTGCCTACGTCTTACTAAGTCATTTATCATCTGTGCACTGTTGTAAGTCGGTATATGTCTTTAGTGCTTATCATTTACACAACAAATATGTTCTCTAGGATATTTGAATTAGTTCAATCCTTAATACAGGACCGACTTCTTTGTGTGTTGTTTTTGAGTTATGTTGGCTAGTTTATAAGCCAGCCATATTTATGGATCCGTTTGACCAATTACTTTTCTGGCAAGTATGATGATAGTTCTGCGCGCTGTTAAACTGTTGGCGGGATTATTGGATTGATCGTAGATATTTGCGTTAGAGGAGAGCACATATATAGCAATGAAATTGTAATCCTGTAACACAGAAAAACTACTGAGCATACAAGACCATTTAACACATGAAAATTAATAGGTAGAACTCCTGGGAATATTCGTAAATTTTTCATGCCACATGTCTGTCATGAAATCAAAAATATTATTTTTTTAAAACGATTAATGTTTACGATTTTTGTTTTTTTTTTTTTGGCCCTTTTTTTTTGAAAATACCCCCCTGAAGTTTTTTTTTTGGGGTGCCGTTGTGAGGAGTTTTAAACCCCCCCGGGGGGGGGGGGGAATTTTTTTTTTTTTTTTTTTTTTTTTTTTTCCCCTTTTTAAATTTTTTTTTTTTTTTTTTTTTCAAAAAATTTTTTTTTTTTTTTTTTTTTTTTTTTTTTTTTTTGGGGGAAATTTTTTTTTTTTTTTAACCGACTTCAAACAGTAAATTTAAAAAAATAATTATTTTACTTCGCACAAAGTAATACGTATGTTTTTCGTATAGTTCAATACAATGTTTTAATCGATGTCTTTATAATATCATTTTGAAGTCGATGTTAGCTGCTGTAAATTTTTGAGGAGATTCTTCGACTGCCTTTAACATCATTATCTGATCTACTCCAAACATTTGTAGTGCATTTAAGTGAGCGAAAAACTTCAAACACACGTCGTCCCTATGGTTTTTAAATATTCACTTCGTGTTTTCTGGTCTACAATCATACCTGATCCATATTCTCATATGTGTTCCCCCAAAGACAATCTCCTCCCCATAAATCCTCAAGAGCGCAAACAAACATAACAAAACATATATATACCAATGTAATTAAGAACGATATAATGAAGTCGGCCGTTTAGTAGTATGTTAAATCACTACATTGCGGGCACTAACAAAACATATATATGCTACAAGTTGCCTCGTAAATTCCTTCACGCCAAGCTGAGCTTATCGAGACAACATTTTCACCCTCCTACGCGACTTAGACTGGAACGGCGTGTCTCAATATTTGCTGTTCCGTTTAGTAGTCTAGCACGAACAATTTACATTCTATCGATAAGAAAAAAGCCCGCTGCAGCCGATAATTGTACCTCACTTAAACGAATTCAAGTGGATTTTGATATCTGTTGTCAACTACTCTAATAGCTCTTCGGAAACATTTTAAGGAAGAAGGAGATAACCTGGAACGACTTGATTACAGACCAAAAGGAGGAGATATTTTGAAGGAGGGGGGGTGAGGCTATATAGTCAACGGCAAATCCCTAAGATTATTTGGAGGGAGCTCCTGTGAACGAAGCGAGGAGAAGGAGAACTATACGGATTCCGTCCGAGTCGCGAGGAAACGGAAAAACTGTGAAGTGGTAATCCTGCGTTTAGATTTCAGTCTGTGGATTTCTAAATATCTGAAGCCAAATCGCCCGAAAGTGCATCCTATTTGAACATTTCTATTGTTGTAAGCTACATGTTAAAACTACGTCTACTGGGCTTTGATATCGCTTAGCTTTTAAGATACCTTAAAAAGATCTTAATTTGTTTGAATGGAATCTGTATTTATATAAAGAGTATTCAAAATTTCTGGAAATACAAAAAAAAAGTCAAAATATGTGGATAATAGAACCTATTTATAATAAATTACCCCAAGTTAACGTTTTATAAGTTCTAATATTGCTTTGGTAATAAAACGTAAGAAGTAACATAAACAAGATGCGACATTTTTAGCTTTTGAGTTCTTAAAGCAAGCTAACAGCTAACGAAGCGAGCTAACGTCAAAATTAGGTTACCTAAAAGGAAAATAATGAATAGTTTCCCGCAATGGCACCGAATGAAAAGATGCAAATATTTAAATAAATTAATATTCAAATCTTTCAAATTTAATATAGCTTCTTATGAAATTTTATTTCGTTAATTAATCGAAATAATATTATGACCTGAATGTTGGCATTCAAGTGCTGCGCGGAGATTTGAAAGAGGTTTTACTAGAAATACCATTTCGAATTCTTGCTGTGTGTTACTAGGTCTTAATGCATTTTTAACCTTTAACTATCGTATATTAAATAAAACACTTTAACGGTTTAAAACGCGATATACGCGCTGCCATTGTTCCCCTACCCTCCACATCCGAAAGTGGGCCGGTCAAAAATCATATTCAAATAAGTTTAACAAATATATTGCTTTGACTTAGTGTGTATCCGCTTACATTAGGTGGATTTATGTCTGGTTTAAATCTTTCCGAGTAGTTTTTTTTTTTTTTTTTTCGGAAAGAAAACGATTTTTCCTGGTAGCCATTACCTAGGGCGTGTAATCGGCGTAACTTCGATCTTCACCGAGCCCTTCTTTGCAATTAATGTATTTTTTAAACATTTTGGACTTAGTCAAATCTGGATATTGAATGTGAAGTCTAGTCGCGTTTGGTTTCAGCCTGTGGATTACCATTATCCAAAGGCAAAATATGTCGATATATAGGTTTTCGTTTCATTGAAACCCGATGCTGGGGTATAAGTTTAGGTACATATAAGAATAATAAATCCGGTCAAGTGCGTGTCAAGCCCAACCACTAAAGGTTCCGGACCCTTGGCTTTTATTTTTTTTATGCCGCCACAGGTACTATTTTTTTAATTTAAGAAATATGGGTTTTTGTCTTGAAATCCCATTAAATATTAATTTGCGAGTGCGTCTGTAATTGACTTTTTCAATTCCACTAAATGTCTGTAGTTTACGCGAGCCGTACACTTTAAATAAAAAAGTTTAACGGTTTAAATTTTTATTTAAATCGCCTAAAATTTGGTAACTATTTTATAATGCTTTGCAGCAGCCGTTCAAGAACATATGTTCCGTTTACTTCGTAATACAATAAATCCCCTTAAATATTAATTTATGAAATTTCTTATCTACCTATCGCGAGCTTTTGAGAGACCTGGTGACTGACAGTAATAGTGCCCTGTTCTGTCCTTCACCGTTTTTACACTTTGCGTACTGAACCCTAAGATACAATGTGATAAGCCACTGTATGTGTTAAATAGTGCGTGCATTACATAGCGATTATACCGTCATGGGTATATCTCGTTCAATGACACTAATCACTTCATTGTACGCGAACAAAGAGTTCCCGCGGTCTTAAGGCATGACAAAACCTCTATCGAGGCAGCTCGTCTGCTCATTGAATTTCAACCAGCCCCGATCACGAATCTGATCTGCATCCCGCATTTGTAATGACGCATTTTCAATGCACTAAAAGTACATGAAGGATGTAAGATGGACTTGGCGATGAAAGGAGCGACGGCGAGTTTATTGCCAGTTCTTCTCGTTTGATCTACGCCCTTGATTTGAGAACTTGTAGTAAATGTAAAGTTAGATTCTTTCGTTTTGTGGCGTTCATAAGTGTACCTTGTTACCTAAATTAATATACCACCCATAACATCTACACAAGTCGACCTTTTTGGCTTTGGATATTCGGAAGATCACATACTGTAACGTGATTAAACTGCATGGTTGTTTTTGTCTGTGGACGGTGGTTCGTGACCCGGACGAAATTTCGGTATTCCTTCTACCGATCAACATCTGGATTTCCAGACGAAGTCAAACAGTGAGGACCAAACCCACGACCCGTAGATTAGCCATACCATAACGTGCTACCATTAGACCAACGAACCCATATCCATCATTCACCCGAGAACCCCGGCGTCTTCGGTACCAATCAATTAGTGGCTATCATGGAAAAAATCAACGGACCCGACTCTTGGGCTCGCCAGTACTCATTATTTCTCACACGTTTTTTATTGCAACATTATACGTGGGTGTGGTTGTAATTTCCTTTCACCGATGTAAGGGCACACACGCAATCATGCCGTGGCTTAAGCGATTATCGACCTTAAAGCTATTAATTTATATGCTAATTCCGCTCGTCGGGAGCGCACAGATGAGAAGATCAGTGATAAAAGATTAAGCAGCCGTCCCTTTCCGTTGCATAGGTATAGACGTGTTGCGGACGTTTTTACGCGCCGGGGGGCAAAATGTTCGTTGTTTTGGCGGCAAAACGCTTCAGGGATCGCGTAACTCAATAATGCGAATTGCGAAGGGCGTCCGTCGGCATGTTTTATTTACGGCGTTTCAATCGGGTTTTATGTCGGTTTTCCGTGGCGTGGCATTGCGCGGTATTAGTTCGTGAGTCAGCATATTGTGTGCAGCCTGTGCGTGACAGCCGCTTCCGATATTGCTTATATTAGCTTCGTCGCTGGGAATCGTATCGTTTACGATTAAGTATTCTCTGTAGTTCACGCGCTTTTAAAGGTTTAAAACGTGGAATGTATTAGTTAAGTTGTTGGCATTTTATTTTTATTACGGCCCGACGTTTCGGAAGCTTTGCAGAAGCCGTAGTCACAGGGGGACTGTTTGCTGTGTTGTAATTGGTTGTACCTGACGTATTTTTCAACGTCATATAACAACAATGCTAAGAAAATACTCAGTAGTGCAATAAACATGATACTAATTCATCATTAGCGTAGTCGACGTTTCGTACACGATTTAAACTGTTAAAAGTGTTTTACCTACTTATATTATAGAATCGTTAAATTAGTTATCCTACCTTTATCTCCTTTCCTTTAGCTTTGTTATACATATTACTATTAAAAGGTAATAAATAGTCCAAACGTGAAAGGTGTCAGTTTAAGACTAGTATTAGACGCGAAAATCCAAATTAAGTAAAACAAATGGGCGAGTCCTGATCCATGCTTCATACTTTATTAAAATCCGGAGCGTTACTGTACCCCAGTTTAGCCGTGCAATTAGTGAGCGCAACCCCCATGGGGTATTGGGGTGAGGAGGCCCACCACGAGGGGTGGCTAGCGACTGCGGGGCGCGATTGAGGGTAGCTACGGCCTTTATCACTCTTTGTTCATTCCATTTCCACGCTACGGATAGAGGAAATGGAATTGGAAAATCATTTGGCTTTTAGCTGATTGCACTGGTTCGGTTCTGCTTTTGTTTTTTTATGCTCTTTTTTAATAATGGCTCAAACAATTGCTCGGTTTATTATTTTAACTGTCTAGATCAATTAGCGATTTATTATCTCCTTTGTACAGAGAAACAATACAATACTACTCATATTTAGAGAACAATATTGCGAATAAAATTATAGTAAATAGTTACAGAACGAGATTTGTTTTTAAAGAAACATCAGTTTATCTGATGCATCACATCTATACTCTACTAATATAAAAAACGGAAGAGTTTGTTTGTTTGTTTTTGTGTTGGTTTAAAAGCATTTATCAAGTAAGGCTATAGGCTATACAATATCGTATCACTGTGGCTAACAGAAGCGAAGATTCCGCGGGAAATGTGAATAAAACGGGGGGAGATTTTTCATCTCTGTGGGTTTCAGATGCGTACGCAGCGAAAACGGTTCAAGACACCCAAAAAATGTGTATGAAGAATGACACCTCTTTAAATAATCTAAAAAACAGTCTCCGACCCTTTATGTCTATCTTTTAAAATTCTCTACAAAGAGCGACGGGAACGGACGCGACAGACGTCGTAAGTAACAGCTAAGTTCATAAAGATGTTGGAATTTGCAAAAACGAATTTGGATACCCAAAATAACGATTCTCGCGAACGAAGTCGCTGGCACAGCTAGTTTTCAATAAAATACAATCGAGCCTTGTATACATAACTACGTTATTGCGTAATGTACGTTATTAAGCAATAAGAATCCGTTTACCAAGTCTCACCTATACAATCCCTAAAAGACCGACTTTAAAATAGTGGTATTTTGAAGTCGGTCAAAATAAAGCAACTTTTGCCCTTTGTCATGCGCATAACTTACATTTTCATAGCTAATTATTTAACAGTATTTTTTTAACAAAGCAAGAGATATTCTTAGATAATGATCACTGACAAATAATTTGAAGTCTTCTTAATATTATTTCTACAAAAGCCTGTTGGTATTAACTGTCTTTAAATAAATGTCATCAAAAAGACCTCTTTTTTTACTGATGGTGTGAATGCCTAATGCACGCCCACGTCGGGCAAGTGCTCGTAAATCGTATAGCCGACCAGAACCACTAAATACACCACCAGCCCTCTGCGATGCTTTAAGGGAGCCTTGGGAACACGTTTGTACGACTCCAAAGCCACCTCAAAGGCCCTAAAATGTTGACAAGTCGAGGAAGTAGGACATGAAGACACATCATACGCTGGAAAATTAAAAGACACCCTTCCAAAACTAAAACTGAGGAGGAATATGACGAGATAAAGGCAGGCTACGTTGAGATGTGGAAAGATGTGTTTAAAGGCCTGCCAGATAGTCTCAAAACAAAATAGTAAAAACCATTTAGTTATTCTAAACATTTACACTGTTTAGACGGCCGTTGTCTACTGCCATCTCTTGGATACCAAAGCTAAGCACTTTTTTGCCCCAATTGTTTGCCCCAATTTTTTGTCTTGCATTTTATCTAATTACACTAAATACTGTCATAGTTTACGCGAGTAGTACAATTTAAATAAACACTTAAGGTTAAAACGGATATATTAGTTAAACTTATTTAAAAATGATTTTTAACTTCGGCCGAGTTTCGGATGCTTTGCAGAGACGTGGCAGGGGGGGTTGTTACACTAAAATTAAAGTTTACTTACTGTTGTAAAATCTCAATAACACAATTGTATCTACATAATACAAAGTTTAAAGATTAATTCGTTCGAGTTTATTAATAGACCGCTATCGTTTTTTATCGTAACTAGTTTCCTTAAAAAAGCAAAGACCAAGATGCAATCCTTAAATAAGTATGATCACCTTGATAGATAATATGCCATTTAAGATTGGCTGACCTTTTGAGTTTGAATTAATAAAATACTGGTTTTCTAATCAATGCATAACAGCGGATTAGAGTTGTGCCAACATAGTGTTATTTTGTAATAGGTACATATATTTACATCATAAATATGTTTTTTCAACATTGGTTATCAGTTTCGTAGTTTATTGCGTACTATTATCTCAGGCAGATATGCTGGTACTATAAGATCTCAATGTACAAAATTTTTACAGACTGTGTTAGCGACTTCGTCGCGGATGGTTACTTTGGGTATCCAAATTTGTTTTTGCAAACCTCCTCCTTCGTCTTTAAAAATTAAAAGTACCCAAGCCGTCGGTCAAGTCCCGTCGTTCTTACAACATTCGCGGACATTTTTATATCATTGTTAAGAAAAATAATTCTTTTATACATATATTTTTGCAGAACCATCGCAGAACAATTATTACAAAACACGCAATGGAATCCCTCAAATATGAGTAATTTCAGTAAAAAACAAACATTTTCTTATTATTGTGGTTAGATTGTCGGCTTGTCTCTGTAAATAAAAAATAATTACTTAATTTAAAAACTGTTATTTTAATGCGCCTCAACAAGTAGTTCAAAATCTATCAGCTTAGCGAAGCCATAGATTTAGCTACCTACTAAAAAGATCTATGAAATCACAAATTGAGGTGTCTGCCCCATGGCCCACATAGAGGAAATGGGATCACACTTTCACATACACGCCATAATTGAAGGCATGAATCACTTCAATGCTAGCTAGCACAATACAAAACAGCTATTTAGAGCACTAAGCCGCTGCTCACTATTGAATTTTATGTATTATATTGTTTTGTCTTTTATTCTCTTGTTTGGAAAGAATATATTTAAATACTGTCTATAGTTTACGCGAGTAGTACACATTTAAATAAAACACTTTAACGGTTTAAAACGCGATATATTAGTTAAACTTATTATGAAAATGATTTTTAACTTTGGCCCTTATTTGGATTTTGCGTTGGGGTTATCATCCGAAACGTCGGGTCGAAGTTAAAAATCATTTTCAAATAAGTTTAACTAATATATCGCGTTTTAAACCGTTAAAGTGTTTTATTTAAAAGAATATATTTGTTAACAATGGGTTAACTACGTAATCTGTTTTTGGCCTTATGACTATGAAATGACTATTAATATAAGAATATCCAAAGCCACAAATGGGTCGGCAACATATCTTGCTGAGATGTTATATTGCTGGGATATTTCACCAAGTGAAATACATTCTTCTCTGTCCTTTATTTTAAAAAATACGTGCAATGAAAATATATAGAAATTCAGGATCTATGCGCATAGTGACCTATATTAATTGATTATGTAAATCCTAGACACGCAAATATTTAACACTAGCTGTGCCCACGACTTCATCCGCGTGGAATAGTTATTTCGGGCATCAAAATATATCTTTATAAATTATAGTTCGTCGTATACGTCGTCCGGGTCGTTCTTTGCAAGTTAATCGTAAAAGATCTATCGCAGAATTTTTCATTCATATCTCTTTGCCTTCTTAAACACACGCGTACGCAACAATGATTTTTTTCCCCGTTTCTCACACATTTGTCTACTTGTTGTAGCGTAATGCTATATAACCTAAAGCCTGCCTCGATGAAAAATATTATAATTCGAACCCTTTAAACAAATTTTTCAGCTTCGTAATAGGAGTATAGACAAAAGATACGTTACGAATTGGGCTGTCATTGGAATATCATGTCAACCTAGAATAGAAATCTGAACCTACTCTTTCGTCTGTAGTTCACGCGTGTAGTACACAAACACTTTTAACCGTTTAAAACGCGAAATGTATTAGTGAAACTTATTTAGTCGTGTATAAGAGTCGCGAGTCTCCGTGACCACGGCTGCTGCAAACCATCCGAAAAGTCGGGCTAACATAATTTGTAAATAACTAATACATTTCGCGTTAAAACCCGTTAAAAGAGCTTTATTGAAACATTACCCTTTTTGTATGCCGTAGTCGGTTCAACAGATTCTTAACGGCGTTTATGAATTTTCCGCATTAGCCAAACAATATCGAAGTACGTGGAAGGTACAAGAGATGAGGCATCACGCGTTTGGCTTAAGGAAGGTTTAAGCCATGTTAATTGACCGATTAATATGCGGCGGGCGTTTATCAATTATACAAATGGCGTCGGATACCGTAGCTCATTCATATTGAAAAAAATATATTTCGCATTTAAAACCGTTAAAACTATTCTATTTAGATTTTTAAATTATAAAATAATAACACCTCATGTTTCTGTTTATGTATTCAAAAATAAACTTAAATAATCTTAAATACTTATTATAATAGTGATATAATTACGAAGACTCTTTACAACTTGTGACAACTTGAATGTTTGTTAGGTACTTAAACAGGTTCCTTAGGTTCCTTTATGTGCAACAAATCTCAAACTCAAACCGTTTATTTCACAAGACAGAATAAATAACTTAAATATAAGCTTAAATAACTACGTTTATAAAGTAATGAGAAATGAAGCACTCGTCCGTCGTTGCTTGTGAAATGGGGAAAAGCACTCAGCATGTGCTTCACCACCCAGAGTAGAGGAGAAGCGCCGGTTTTCAGTGACAGTGTTTTCAGAGGGATAAAATTCCTTACAGTTTTAGAGGCTGGTATTGGTGGTGGAAGGTTGTTCCAACATTTCGTCGCATTGTACGCAAAACTGCCCCTAAATGCCGTGGTGTGGTACAGGGGCATTTCCAGGCCATATAGAGCAATTCTGGTATGATATCTATTGTTTCCATCCCCAAACCATGTTAGTTTATCGTATAGATATGATGGAGCCTTAGATAGAACCACGTCAAATGGAAGGGATGCAAAATGTAGGCGTCGACGCTGCTCCATTCTGAGTACGCCAGCACTCAGAAGAAAGGGTGAGACATGAATACGGAGTGGGATGTTCCAGATATATCTTGCACATGCATTTTGCACACGCTGTATTGCGTTCTTAGTACGCGCTAGCATATTCGAGCCATAGCAGAACATCAGCATACGTGAACTTTGAGAGGACCAGTGCATCACAGAGTTTTATACGAAGATCAACAATTATATATTTTCTTATCTTATATAAGAACTTTAGGCGATAGAAACAATTGGATTTTAATGTGTTAATATGCTTCTCAAACCTCAGGTTTTCATCAAAGACGCCTAAGTTGCGAGCTTCTTTCACCCGTTCAATATTAACGTTCCCTACATAAATGCGCAGGCCTCTTTCTACTTTTCTTATTATTCAGATTCTATTTGTTTCTTAATTAATTAATTTCTTGGTCGATATTTTAATCTGTCGGTATTGTTTTTTTTTTTAATTAACTGACTGTTGCCTCAGGTTGTTGTCTTTTCCCTCTGGACATCTTGGTACTAAAATATCTATGCACAACAAATATATATACTGTCCACATCCGACACTTAAACTCCCGATCTTTCGAACTTAAACTGGATGCTCTTATCACTAGACAAACTCTTGAATACTCAACATATACAACAAGCTTTGACCGCGACTTCTGCCGCGTAGAATAGTTAGTTTGGGCACCAACACTTGTTTTTGCAAACCACTTCTCATATTTTATCTCATTGTATATTCTAATTGTTACCCACGACGGCATCCCCGCGTCAATCTTGCAAGTTAAGCTTAAAAGATTGGGACGGGTTTCTTTTTTTCGTTGAAAGAGGAATTATTCTTTCATACATATTTTTTGGGTATCTTGAACCATTTTCGTTACGCACGCAAAGGAATCCCACAAAGATAAGTAGTTATCCCTGTTTTATCCACATTTTTCCTTGCTTCTTCGCTCCTTTTGGTCGCAGCGTGACGTTAAATAGCCTAAAATCTTATTAAGTGCTCCAATCGAGATAAATATTTTTTAACTCCAACCAGCAGTTCCTGATATTAGCGCGTTCTAACAAACAAACAAACTTCGGCTTTTGTATTAGTAGTATTTGCCCTTTCCTACTGACCCTACCGCATTCTATAAATAAACATAATACACCAATTACCTTCTAGGACACTTATAAATAAGAAATTTTAACAACATCGCATTCTTCATTACAAAGGCAATTTTTTCTTTTAAATGATATTGGAAAAGAATTTTGTAGGAACAGCTGTGGCTTAAAAAAATATGTATTCGCTATGTTTGGTCGGCGTTGGCACATAAGGGCATACCTATGTCACTTTTAATTGAACATAACTGCACTAGTAATTACAGAGTGTATGATGAACGTTTTAGCTTGTACACACAGATTTATCGTGCGCGTGCGACTTTTTAGGCAATAGCGACATTATATATTCTTATTTATAGTATTATCAAATTTTATTTAATTTTTAACCAACTCAAAAAGGGAGGCTCTCCTGGCAAAGATTACTTTTCCATATAAAGTATTTCGACCTAAAATTTGATTAACTCAAGAACGGAACAAGCACGGAACGGAAACCCTTAAAGATGAATATTTTTCCCCGTGTTTCTTTGTTATTTGTAGAGTAGTTAATAAATAATGTCTCTTTTATCAACGATATTATCGTATTATTATCCGCTTATAACCTAAAAGAACATGTAACTTGCAAATCATTCAGCTGCTCTTGTAATAATAATAGTTTTAATTACTAGCCAAGACAAAGTTTCAGTGCGTACAAAAGTTGTAAGCCTTGACGACATTCTCGTGTCGGGCACCTCGAGTTTGCTCTTTTTCTCCCGAGCCCATTCTACGAACAGCGAACTGGTTAAACGGGCTGCGCTTGCGACGTTTTTTCGGCGTAAGTGCAGTATTGTGGCTAAAACCGTAATAGACGCACACGTTGATAAAACGTGATTTTATTTCAGCAATACACATATCAATCTTGTAAATAAAACACTTTAACGGTTTAAAACACGATATATTAGTTAAACTTATTTGAAAATGATTTTTAACTGCGGCCCGCGTTTCGGATGCTTTGGAGCAGCCGTGGTCACGGGGCCGAAACATCGGGCCGAAGTTAAAAATCATTTTCAAATTAGTTTAACTAATTTATCGCGTTTTAAACCGTTAAAGTGTTTCATTTAAATGTGTACTACTAACTTTACACTATAGACAGTATATCAATCTTTACTAATATTATAAAGCTGAAGAGTTTGTTTTGTTTGTTTGAACGCGCTAATCTCAGTAACTACCTACTGGTTCGTATTGAAACACAGGCTTATAGGCTATAGAACATCGCTTTGCAACTTGTAGAAGCGAAGAAACAACGGGAAATGTAGTGAAAACGGGGAACATGTTATATCCTTGTGGGTATTCATTGCGCACGCTGAATACTGAAATAACTTGTAGATTTTCCTTTCTTGAAATGTATTAAATATAAGCAAACACACCAACATCCGCTATAAAAATCGCGATTCCCAAATAAATTAGACTTCAAAGGCGGAACTTTACCACTTTAATTATTCTTCGTATGCCTACGAAAGGGCAGAGTGCCTTATAAAACCTTTCGATGAATAAATACCAGCTTACTTACAGCCCGTTTCAGATAAGTTTCATTAAGTTAATTTATTTTTACGACTCGAACGCCAAGTTTGGCTCCTATGACACGCAGGCAGTAATTACGTCTGAATTTATGACTGAGTTCACAGGAAGAAACATTTTGCCTTAAAATGGACGAACCAGACTGCATTATGGTTTTAATTTACGTCATACATATATACTAATTACTATATATATATCGTCCTTCTACAAATCTCAGGCATTCCTATATAGGTTTATATCATTAAATAGTTACTGGTTAGAGCAGTTCATTAAGAAGTAGGAGTTCTTTCTTTTTATAAGAGTCCCTACTTTATCTATCATAATTCCTGAGACTCATTTAAAAGAATATAAAAAGATATGTCGTTTAATTTTAATTGTCATATAGAATTCCTTGGTTAAACTTTATTTTAATAAAGATTTTTTTAATTACTAAACTTTGAAAATGATTCAGAAATCGGCCAATAATTTCAACGCTACAGTTATACTAATATTATAAAGAGGAAAGGTTTGTATTTTTGTATATAACGGATAAACTCAAAAGTACTGGACCGATTTTAATAAATAAATTTTTTTCATTAGAAAGCTACTCATCACTGAGTAATATAGGCTATATTTAGTACTTGATTACTATAGGCATCTATAGAAATTCTTACTTAAACCAACGGAAGGCGTAAAAAAATTAACCGTTAAATGTCTTTCTCACGCTGCGAAACGTATTAATGATAGGACAAAAAATGTTCGACAGTATTATAGAATATATCAATATCTACAAAAAACATCTCAAGAGCATATTTCTGACTATTGTAGTTACGTCGCTATAACTACTTTTTTACATTTAACAAATTGAAAGAAATGCCGATTAAAATCAGACCTTGTGATCCATACCATTTATAAATTTTTATCCAAATAAATAATTTAGTATTCAAGACTGTCTCAATACCTGATGATTACTTTTTTAATTATTGAAATCGGACGAGCCATTCAAAAGATATCATGAAATTAAAATAAAATAATGCTGGCGGCGGACGCCACGCCGCGCATCGAGTAACTAATTCGACGATGGAGGGGCAGTGGGCTCCTTACGCGGTGGGCGCGACATTGTTTATTTCAATTTTTTTTTAACTTAATTTTATTTTTCACTTGAAAAGTTCTTTCCAGAGCTACTTAGTTTTAGTATTAGGAAGCACACTTTGCATAATGTTTGTCAAAGTTCTTTTCCGAACTATCGCTTTGAACTTGAATATTTTCTTTTGTATTATTATTAGATTATTCCTAATTTCTCTGATTTAAAATAAATATCCTTCAATGCAATATGCCTAGAAGAAGATGGTCGCAGCTATCTAAGAATAGTTTCCAAGGGAGATTAGCAAAAGCTCGTCGCATTGGAGTCTTCCTCCTAAAATGATCGTCTGGAAAGTATTAGAGTGCTTTGCAGCAGCCACGGTCACGGGGAGACACGGCTGCTGCAAAGCATCTGAAACGTCGGGCCGAAGTTAAAAATCATTTTCAAATAAGTTTAACTAATATATTGCGTTTTAAACCGTTAAAGTGTTTTATTTAAATGTGTACTACTCGCGTAAACTATAGACAGTATTTAAACAAAAATCTTTTGGGCACTATTTTATTTACAGAGATAGGTAAATTTTAATTTCTAGGTAAATTCCAACTTACTTAACATCCGCTATTATTAGATAAGCCAGCAAATCCAGGTGTAATTAGCGTACTTACAACGCGTGTAGGGTAGTTGTAAAGTAAAGCTACTGTTTGATTACATGACTCACTCAGGAAGGCATAACTCAAACGACAACGGAGGGCTGCCACATGCAGAACATAAATAATAAATACTTGTAGCCTACCTAATAACTTTATTTATTTTATTTGAAACTAGCTATGTCGTCGACTTCGTCTGCGAATAATGGTTACTTTAAGTATCCAATTTTGTTTTTGCAAATCTCCTCTTTAAAAACTTAAGCTGTTACCCACGATGTCGATCACGTTTTGCTGTTTGTGTGAGTTTATCTTTAAAGACATATAGCGACATAGCGATGCGGACATTTTTTAGATCATTCATCATAAAATTAATTTGAAATGTGCTAACTACTTAGCCGATCCTCTGGTTTTGATCTTTAATAAATCTTTACAGTCTGGCATTTTCCCAGTGATGTGGAAACTGGCAAAAATAGTACCGATTTTTAAGACAGGGAGTCGCGACCTGATGCAAAACTACAGGCCCGTTTCAATACTATCTACTTTGGCAAAGGTTTTCGAGTCGATTATTTGTCCCCACATACAAAATTATGTTAAGCAGTTCCTCAGCGTTGAGCAACATGGTTTTGTTAAGTGTAGATCGACAGCTACAAACCTAGCTCTTTTTACTGAGACAGTAACTGAATCACTAGACTCTAATGCGCAAGTAGATGTAGTTTATACAGATCTTAGTAAAGCTTTTGATCGCGTTCCGCATCAAATTCTTTTACAGAAACTAAATAAATATGGTATATCCCCCATTTTCTACGAATGGGTTAAAT